TAGTATATAATCTTAGTTTTTATTTAAAAAAAAAAATTATAAAATATTTTTATATTTTAAAAAAATAGATCAGATATAAATTTATAAAATTTAAGCAGACAAATTTGCCTGCTAAAACTGGACAGTTTAAGGGATAACCAGAATCAGTAAACCTAGCAATAGTACTAGGTGGAACTGATGCATCTATTAATAAACCTTCAATTACATTAACACCTTTATAGATAAGTAGTGGGGAATATATGTTCCAGCTGCTAAAATCATAGAGCAAACAGAAATATACTCTTTTGAGTTTCTAGCTGCAGTTTTATGGACTTGTTAAGTACCTTTTTGAGCCAACACTTTTTGTAACCGTGCCAAGATATTAAAACCACTTTTATCCATGTTCCAAATTTTATCAGCTGTAAGTGAATGTTCATAGATAAGTTGTCTGAGTTTTGTAAAATGATCTTGAATAACAACTGGGTTAGCTTTAGCTACACGTGCTTAGAAAGTTTCTAAAGAACATGAAAAGAAAGTTGTGAATAATCACACATAAATTGGTTTCACCATTTTTTACTAGGGCCCTCTTTCATTAAATGTCTTTTATTTTTTAATTCAAGAATTTGTACAATCATCGTATTTACTGCTACTTTAGTAAATCCAAATCCAATTTGTTGCATGTTTAAACAATACCCAACTAATTCATTTTCTTCTTTAGCTATAAGTATTGTAGAATGACCAGGACATTTTGGTGCACTACCTTTAGCTACAGCATCACACAGTGTTTGTTTAGCAATACCATGATTAAGAGCAACTTTACAAATACTTAAAGGTAAGCTTGAAGTCTTTTGAGTTTCAAGAAAATTTAAAGCTGCCTGAATAGATATTTGATGTGTAGCTATCCTGCTTTGAAGATATCACTCGGTTTATATTATACTGTACCCTATTTTCAAAGTAAAATAAAATTTGTATTGTAAACACAAAGATTTTTTTTTTTTTTTTTAAGGGTTTAATATAAATTCACAGTGCACTAGATGCACTAGGTGTAGAATCATAAAATTGATCATGGGACCTTTAGATTATTTAAGTTTTATTTAACAAATTATAGCGAAATGAAAAAAAAACTTTAATTTTATAATGAATGCCCCGGGAAAAAAAACGTGATAAAGCATGTGTTTAAACATGTGTTTTACAAACTGGCGAGTTTATAATTATTGTTAAAATCAGTAAATATATATTTTTTGATTTTTTTTTTCAATAAAAAAGCAAATATTAAAAATTGGTTTCGTTATTATAAAAGAAAGTATCTTGGAACAAATAATAAAAAAAAATAAAATTTTTATATAAAAAAAAAAAAAGCGCTTTTAGAATATATTTATATATATGTTTAAAGTGTGTAACAAACTTAAACCTAATTTTATATACAAATTTAATTCATTGGCTGATGATAAATAGGTGAAATGTAGAATTCACAGAAATAGAGTGATTCCCGAAAATAGGTACCTATACCTTATACCCGATACTTATCTATGATATATACCTAATATCTACTTATGTTATATATGTATATACCTATCTCAATATATACTATGATATGTCTACTATGATATATACCTGATACTTATCTTCGATATTTATGTATAGTATACCTATAGAAAAAAAAATAAAAAAGGTGGGACTTAACAAATTAAACTAAGTAACTTGTAACAGTTGTGACAGTCATCGAGAACAGTTTTTTTTGAATTTAGATTTCTAAGAACCCATCTTTCTACTAATTTTTTTACTTAAGACGAACTCATAACAACTTGTGACACTTGATTGAACTATGTCTGTATACTTACTCACTATTTATTTTCTCCAAGCATCTCTGATTTTTGCGCAATCTTTTCTAGCTTTTTTTGCTAATAATGATCTTGAAATCTATATTTACTAGCATGAGTTCTGCACGTGCCAAATATAGATGATGTTAATTTACTACACTCTTTACATAGTACACGGGTGGTAAAATTCCAATGAACTCTGGTTAATAACAACTCTTATTACAAACCTTATCAGTTCAGAGAATATAAGGGCAACAATAAAATCTCATATCTATATAAAATTCTTTAATAACATATGTATTATATGTCTAATACTAATTGCCTGAAATAATTAATTTTCATTTTAAACTTCTCTATAACCAATATTATATTATTCAAGAAATATGAGTGAATCTACCAAGAGCCAAGATTTTTAAAAAAGTGTGCCTGTAGAGTTAGAAGCATTACCTTATCGACTAGAGAGCCCAGAAAACTCAGAAAATTTTGAGCCAGAGATAGAGGAAAAAATAATAGAGCCTTCTACTACCAGGGGGCCAAAGCTTTTCCTCAATCACAAATTTCAGAAAGTAAAAAAGTAAGCGAAGTATATTGATACTGTCATGGTGACATAAAGTATGCGGTGAACATGTTTAAAAATAAGGGTAAGAGTGATCAATCGATTAGTGTCTTGTACACGTGATTCACATAATCATCGATCGGGATTATGGACAGTCGGTATTATAGTTGGGATACTGAAGTAAGGTAATTAATATATCATGGATGAATTAATTACACATTAATAAGTAATACAAAATAGTTTATTAGTAAGCTATGCATAAACAATCGAATAAAGTATGTAATCAATTTAAGAGAAAATGGTCGTATGACTAATATATAATATAACGAACAGAGTCAAATATGTATATAAGGATCAAAGCAATAGTAATAATAAAGTTAGTTTAGATAGTTTCGCTCTTGTAATACATTAAACCCTTAATAAATATAAAGTAATAGTACATATAATAAACACTTGCCTTGTTGAGTTTGTTCGTTTGGTGCCTAATTAATAGTGCCTACCATCTGGGTTAGGTTTTTCTTTGACGAAAGTCATTAATTAACCTGTGACAATACAATAGAAGAGATTATTTACTAGTCTATCCAAGTTGCAATATAATAATTACAGAAATTGATAACTATGGATCGATCAAAAAAATAAATTTTTAATGGCACTCTTTCTGACAATCACTAAAACCAAATTTTCCTACTAATAGAAAAACAATTTATTTGTAGGAAAGTCATGGCTTACATTGCAGTTTGTCTAGAAGTTAATGTTATTTGTCTTTCGGAACTCCTCTAAAGAGACATTTAGCATGCAAGCCAAGAGCATTACTATACAAGATAACTGGCAAGAGGTACTCTTGTATATAAAATCTTGGTGGAGTGTGAGCAAAAAGCTCAACTTTATTGATGAAGTTTCTAGGTCGTTACTTCAAAGAAGAACACAGGGGAAACAACAAAACTTTTTCTTTTCTAAAGCCATACTCTTTCTTTTGGGTTTGGTGACTCTTCTCTTTCTTTTTCTCACCCTCCCGTCAGTCTTCCAAAATTTTTTACAAAAAGTAGAGATTTGGCTTATCCCCTCCAAAAGATCGGTATTGTTTACTTTTCAAATTCGGACAGACTCAGTAAAATGCAACCAAATGATGTATCTGTTTACAAATACGGCGCTACTCCAGAGAAGTCAGATCGGGGCCTTTGGTTAAAGAGATATCCGAAAGCAGTTATAAGTCAGAAGAACTTTTAATGTTAAGGCAAAGCTTTATACTAGAGATATACAATCGTTGCATTTGTTATATAATTTTTTCAGCCTTGTACAGGTTATAATAGTATATCCTTGTTACATAGAGAGGTGCAATCTCTCTCAACTGTTTATCCTTGTTCTATAAAATTTTTTTTTTATTTTTTTCCATTTTTTCTTTTTTGAGTTTTTTTATTTTTTATTTACTTCGCTCTTTTCCTTTTCCCTCTTTTGTTTATTTCACCTTTTTAGTTATAGTTCATTTCGTTTTTTATGAAATTTTTTTTAGATAATTCCAGTCATCTGTGATCTGGTAAGACAAAGTTGCAACTTAGACCTGAGCTAGGTTTTTGCACTACAATATAGAATCGAGTAGTGCCGGACTTTATCTTTACATTTCTATGTATTTATATTATTATAAATATTAATAAATAAAAGTAATCACAGCCAGACCCGTCAACAATTTAAAAAAAAAGAAGATAACTACAAATCAATAGCAACTATTAAATGGGCTTTAGTCAATGAAGAAGATATACATTTTATGCCAATTGACATTTAAGAATATAATAAATATATAAATAATGTTCCATACTATGTTTTACATATTTAAGGTTATTTTGTTTATGGTCAAAAAGCTGTGATAACAGTTGATATTTGCATTTCCGATAATAAAAATATTGGCGTATTTGAGATTGAAATAAAAAATATTCTTTCCAATGGAAAAAATAAAAGGGGTTGTTGATATGATCAACCTCCGGACAGAATATATAAAAGCATTTTCAATCAGTAGATATTATAAAGAATAAAAATCTTATATTCACATCGTTATATCTGATATTAAGCAATTTTAAATTATAATTTAAAAATTGGGAATAAGTACAAACTGGAAACTGCCTCAAATAATTTGAGAGCATATTACCGAAAAGTTGCTCGAGAATATAGGATACTACTCTCTGGATGGGCTTTATTAACCAATTATGAATATAACAATGGTAGGATGCCTTATAGTGCTTATTCTCCACTTTGTGAACATGCTTTCTATATATCTATTAATAATTATCATTCTGTAGAGGATTCTACAGTACTATATAAGGTTTATCCATCCTCACTTATTATTCATGATCAAGCACTAGTTCTTACCTGGAATATAGAAACACGTTCAATGCTTGAATTAGACCATGTCTCTATTGCAAGATATAAAGAAGATAATATATTTATGATTTGTATGACTGTTCACTAGAAAGATGATCTAAAACTATTGAAACAAATTTGTCTCATTGATATCGAAACTGCATCAGATCCAAATTGAATAATGATTATTTGTAAAAATGAAAAGAATATATTAAAAGTATTTGTTTTATGCTGGCAATTATTGGCTCTTGATATTGAACTTATATATAATGGCTTTAAATATGACTGGCCATTTGTAGTAGAAAGAGCTACTCAGTGGAAAATCTTAGATTGGATGTTAACAAAAATGTCAGCGAATCCATGTAAAAAAGCTACAATTAATAGTATTCTTCATTAGAATTACTATAGAGGGGTAGGCGAACCTTTCTATAAAGATTTTTTTTATAAGGAAAAGACATGGGAAGTAAAATTAGAAAAAAAAAAAGATAATCATAATATTGAAGATAAAAAAATAAAAAATTAAGAAGGAATAGAAATTAAAATCACTCCTGAAAAAATGTTTATATTCACTTTCCTTAAAATTCCCAGATGCGTTCCAATTAATGTAATAGTATGTTGTAAAAAACTTCATCTGGATTCTGAGATAAATACACTTAACCATTATTTAGAAATCAATGGTCTCAAAAGTAAAGTAAATTTATCTATAAAGAATATAAGAAAATATTATGAGCAAAGCAAAATCTCTATTATGACTGAAACTACCAAATATATGTATAAAATTGCAGAATATTGTATTGTGGATGCTAAATCTTCTCAGCGACTTATAGTTAAGAAAAATATGATAAATAACTATAGAGGTGTTGCATTTATTGCTTATATATCTTTATTCGATTCACATTATTATACTATAGGTAAGAAGGTACATAATCTCTTAGATGAAGAAGCGTGAAAACGAGATATTCTAGTTACTATAATAACAAAGAAAACTGAAAAAGGGTCATTCCCAGAAGCTTATATGTACTCTCCAGATAAAGGCCTTGCATCTTTGTATCTGAGTCTTATTATGACTTATAATTTATTACCAGAAAAGATGATATATATATTAGCCAAAACAAATATACTAAAGAAAGAAAACAAAGTACTTCATACAATTGAGTTTGGTGGAACCATTCACACATGGAGCATATGATATAAAAACAAATCTAACCAAAAAGGCTTATATCCATCTCTATTAGAATATTTACTTAATAAGCAAAATGAGATAAAGGCCCAATTAAAACTCCTTGAAAAGAAAATAGAGCATATAGGACTTGTGAAAAGTAGAATAAATTCTGAAGTTAATTTGATAGTAACTATAGACATCATTAAAGATATTTGAGAAGATATAAAAGATGAAAAGAAATGTTAAGATGTAACCAAAACTCTAAATAATTTTATTGGAATGCCTTATAAGAATCTTATAGAAGAATATAATTCGATTTGTTTTGATTATAGCTACTTAGATTCAAAGCAGAAAGCATTAAAAGTGTATATGAATTCATTTTATAGTAAAACTGGTAACAGTCTTTTATCTTTCTATATACACCAGCTTGCTAGTAGTGTTACAGCGGGACAGTATAATATTAAGCTTGTTGCAGAATATGTGAAAAAGAAAGGTTTTGAGATTATATATGATGATACAAACTCTTTGTATCTTAAATCTCCCAATAATTATTATAAAAAATGTGATCTCACTTATTATAATGGTAAAGGTACAATTTCAAAGTTAGAGTATTGGACAAAAATGGTTGAATTACTATGAAGATAATAGAAAGACTATATAATGAGGTAAATTCATTCTTAGATTAAAAAGCAGATCAGTTTACCTAAAAATAGCATATGAAGAGGTATTATTTCCTGTCTGTTTTACTGGTAAGAAGAAGTATTTTGGTATAGCATACAAGGAAGCTGTAAACTTCAAACCAGATGAACTTTTCATCAAAGAGATCAATACTGTGAAGCAAGGTAAATCCCAGCTTTTTAGAACTATAGAAGATCAAATCACAAAGGAAGCTATAGATATCAATAATGTACGTTCACTCCATCAGATTGTTGAAGAGGTTCTTAAAGAGGCTGTATCCAATCCTAAGCAATAGGATTTCAAATAGTTTATAGAGACAGCTATATAGAAACCTAATAAAAATAATATATGTGCTCAACATTTTATAAAACGGAAGAAAAAAGAATACGAAAACAAGATTCCAGATCCAGAAGAATAATTTAGTTATGTAATGATTCACTATTTGGTTTATCTGGTAAAAAGCTTACACTAAAAAAGAGTAATCAAATAGAATTCGTGGATGTTGCAAAAGAATTAAATAAGGAATTGGATCTATTCCATTACTTTGAAAATACTATCACTGCACTTTGTACTCGATTCATAATATATGATAAAAGATATGAACCACTATCTACTAACAAGATTATGCAAATTTCTGACTTGGATAAGAAGTATAAACAGATTGATATTTATGCTTAAAATAAGGCCAAAAAGTGGCTTGAATTGTATATTAAGGAGATAAATAGGATCAATTCTAAAATACTATCTAATTATAGATATGCTTACAAACACGCTTACAAGAATACAATCAAAACCGGACAATCTATATTACATCAGAAGATAGATAATATCTATGAGATATTTCATGGAGAATAGTTTATTTTGATGATTTTAAGACAACTAATACTGCCGAGAGATTATGGAAAAGGTTTATAGAGTATGCCAAAGCATATACTGAAAATGATAATCTCTTGATAAGTGGAGTGATAAAAAAATTTATATGTTTTAATTTTACAAAACATTTAAATATACTTATCTTAATTATTGAGAAATATGATATTTTCTTTCATAAGCTAGTATATTATATGCAATGTAACAATCTCAGATAAAATTGGCCAACCCAAGACTATGAGAAAAATAAGATGATTACTAAACAACCTACTTTATCTCTTATATTGAAAACAGATCAACTAGTACTTGAGAGTTTTTTAAATATATAGAACAAGGCAGTCAGCTCAATATAAATATAATCGCAATATCATGATATTTATACAATATTAATTATATTTTTTCATATATAAAAAATATCCAAGTTTAAATAGATGTTCACCTAACCCACATATCCCATAATTGCTCATTTTTCTTATCCAATTCCCATGTGCGTCTCAATATCATGAACTATATAACTGCAATAATCAACAGAGTAAGAAAAATATATATCAATAGAGGTGACATTAAACTACTTTCTATGACAAAAATTGCTTCTATTCTACCTATCAGAAGAGGCAAAGCCTGCCTCAAGACTAGGTCTCATCTGGAGATTTGATTCAATCAAAGAGAAGGCACGATTTTTTGGTTGTACAAGATGTAGATCCACATTCTCAGGTATAATTAGAGATATATCTGATTTTATCAATATATCTAGTATATTATCCTTGTTAGTTTTACTAATATTGATTTCATCACTTATTTTGAAAATATCTTCAGTATTTACTCTTGGAGATTCAGATATAGAAGTAGGCTCTTTGAGCCATTGCTTTGCAATATTTTTATCATCGGTGTGATCTAGTATATTACCATTAATTTTTCCAACTTGATCCATACTTTTTCTGCATATAAAATATTGGCTGAGATTTTTGATAAATTCATTAACTGCAGATATATTGTTATTGCAAAGCAATGATATTTCGGGTCTAGACTTGGTTATATTTTTTTTATTATTTCCACCAACTATAGATACTGACATATCCTTAGATTTTAAATACTCCAATTCACTAATATTTAAAGCTAACTCACATTCTATTAGTTATTTTAGATTTAAGAGACAATACCTCAAATTCTTTATTTGAAGAATTTTTTTAAATTGAAAATACATCTTTCTGGGCTGAGGATAACTTACTTTCCAATATTTTGATCATAGACTCTAGCGATCTAATTCTCTTGGATTTTGTAATATTCTCAGATTTAGAATTAGCAAAAGAAATAGCTTTGCTAGCATTTTCAAACTGCAAGTTTTGATTTTCACTAACAACTCTTTCTAGTTTTTTACTTCACTTTTTTTTATCCCAATCCTACTTGTTTCTCTACTGATTAAATTTTTTTCTTGTTTTTCATACTTATCCTACAATTTAGCATTGTATGAAACTATCTCGAAAGAATCTTGGAGAGCATTATATAATTCTTTCTTAAAATCTATTACATTTGCCATATTAAATAAAAGAAATATTTTAAAAAATAACAAAATATGGAACATATATATAATATAAATATACTTATCTAATAATGCTATCAAAGAAACTATGCTTCCAATATAATTCAACAATAACCGATTTTTTTAGAAAATTATTGAATATTAAGTATATAATTACCTATAATTATCTATTATTTTTTAACATAAAAAATATGGGCGTATTTTAGCATTTTCAATAATTTTCAATAATTTTCGATAATTTTTTATAATTATAAAAAGGATTGAACATATAACTGTAGAATATTATTGTGCTGGTACTCCATATTTATCTCCAGAAGCTATTGAGGAAATTATTCAATCTCGAGGAACAGTTAAAAATGCATATAGAGAAATGGCTAGTAAATATAGTACTTTAACTCATAGAATATATGAAATTTGAAAAAAACATGCTAAAGAAATACCCTTGCGCAAACAGCAACTAATACATAGTGTTGTTTCTTCTGAAATAATGTCTGAAAATAGTACTTCAGATAGAAAGTCAAATAAAAAGAAACCATGATCCAGTTCTAGATCTGTTTGAGTATCTGATTCAGTTAATATTATTAGGCCAGAGGCCTTTAGTATAACTAAAAATAAGGTTGATATAACTGATATTGCAATAAAAAAAGTAGGCTCGGAGAGCCATTGCTCTGCAATAGATAAAATAGATAACTTACAAGCTAGGCTTGTACAAAGTTGCAAAGAAAGAGAAGAAGCTAAACGTGAGATGAAAAGAGTTTTAGATTTTAATTAATCTATTTTTGTTTTTTCTAGAGTAGTTTATAGATCTGAAAGGTCATTGCTTTGGAATATCTAACTCATTTCTATAAGCCCATAGTTTTTTATTAAGCTCGATTAATTCAGTATTGGATTTGAGTATCTCATATATCGATTTTGCTAACTCTTTATAGCTCAAGTATTTTTTTTTAATGACAGATCATCACTATCTATTACTGAAGACTTACTATCTTGAACTATAGTCATATAGTTCACTTCTAATTTATTTTTCACCTTATGCATATTGATTGGAATAAAAAACTTCTTACCATTGCATATCAGTTTTAATTTATGTTTCAATACAAGTAAATTATAATCATACTTATTGTGTAATGTATTAGGTAAGATTAATATTGGCTTTGGATGTCTAACTACTGCAAAATCAGAATATATAGCACATCTGAGAGCAAATATCACAGGTACATTGCATACAGTTCCAATAGATTCAGTAGAGGTTGTAGCAACTCCACTAAGATCATGTTTTTCTTTTGTATTAATTAATAGCTTTGCATGTTTAGCAATATTCTCGGTTATAACTAAAAATTTGTACAAAAATTGAGCCCTGTACCAGAAATAATTAAATGTTTAATTTTATATTTTGCAGTTGCAATATCTGTAGCTAGCTCTTTTCTACAAACAAAATCAATTTCTATGAGATTATCTATAATATCCTTTTCTATCCAATTCAGGAATTTTTGAAACCAGCTCTCGATGGTTTATGAAATCTAGAATAGTTAAGTTTTTATTTTCAGATTTAAGTTTTTCCAACTAGTGTAGAAGTAAAACCTTTTCAAGCATATCTAACAAAATTTGCCAAATATTCTGTTCAAGAATAGTTGATTTATTTTAGAACTTACTAGAAGTGGAGGTGAGGTCTCTTTTTGGTTCTTCTTGCAGGGCTTAAATAGGTTTCTATCTCATTCCTCTTTTTTGATTTTGGGTTGCTTTGATTTCTTTTTAGATGATGATTTTGTAGAGTTGTTTTTACGCTTTACTCTTTTTTTACTTTAATAATATGAACCTTAATGTCACTTTCAGATTCAGATTCAGATTCAGCTGAAAATTCTCCAGAATCAGATCCAGATTAAAAGCCAGAATTGGATTTATTATTAGAAGTGTTAGAATCTAAATCTGATTTAAAACTTGAATCTACAATAGCAATATTGATCTTACCTTTCTTTTTGGATTTATTTATAAGCTTGCTCTTTTTCTTATTTTTAGGACAATTGCGAGAATTATGTTCAGTTTTATTACAAATAGAATACCTATAATACAACTTCATCACTTTTTTAATAGCTTTGGCTACATGTAATTTTAATTGCTTTTGTGTGAAATTGGCAAGTTCTTCATCGGAGTCAACTTCAACTTTTTTATTACTGGTTTTGGAGGCAAATTGGGCTTGAGGATAGGAACAAATTCTGAAATCTCCCCAGTAATCTATTGTACAAATCAATCTATTAATATATCTTGTATTTTTTGATATGTGCCGGGGAGTTGTAGTCTATAATAAGGCTAAGGTGTCTGCAATAGTTGTGATGGCTATATTTGTTAAAAAACTAATTGTGAAGAAACAGATTGAGATTGTGTAGGTGTTATTAATTTAGATGCCAATTTATAACTAGACTGGGGTAGTTTACTAACCAATCCTAATTTTTTCTCTGCTCTTCGCATTTCAATTTGCTCCAAAATTTCAAAAAGGTTAGCTAATGATTACTCAGTACCAATGCATTCTGCATCATCCTCCAAGTCTAGAGACAAATCTCGTAGAAATTAACCCTTAATTTGTTGCTCATCGAGATTAAGCATTTTCCCATATTTTAAAAGTTTTGAGTAAAATTCTCCTATAGGTTCATTTTTTTGAGCCAATAATCTATATACTAAATTGCACTTTTCACTTATTATTGTAGAATATTCATTTTTGAGCTAATATAATGCTTGACCAATTTGAATATCGCCAAATACTATAGGATTGGCATTACCTGTATTAATTGCATTAACTGGTCTTCAGTAAAAGCTTCAGCTAGAATCATTGAAACACCTATTGTTACTGCATTATTACCAGCAATATTTGCATAGTAATAAGCGATTGAAGGATTTCTAAAACTATTACTAGTATTTATCTGTGTCATAGTTAGAGATGGGCAAAATAGTGTTTTCTATAATATGCATGCACATGGTATGCTGCATGCATATTATATACAGTATATACTATACTTACAAATTAATTTTTTTTAAATTTTAAATAAAGTTATCTTAACAAATACAAAACCAAATTTAATAAACTTTTTTTTATTTAAATTCTATATATTCATAGAATTCAAATAAAAAAATGTTCATCAAGTTTAGTTTAGTAGTTGCTGAAATATTTTTGCTTAAAGTTTTAAAAAAAATTTTAAATCATTTACAAAATAGGCTTTACAAAATTTTTTTCAAGTTTAAACAAAAATATTTTAGCAACTACAAAGCCAAATTTGATAAACTTTTTTTATTTTAATTTTATGAATTCATAGAATTTAATACAAAAAGATTTATTAAAATTGATTCAGTAGTTGCTAAGATATCTTTGATTAAGGTTTAAAAAAAATCAAAATATCTAAATAAGCTATATAGAATTTTCTCTAAACTTTGAGTAATGATATATCAGCAACCACAAGGTCTTTAATGAACTTTTTTTTATTTAAATTCTATAAATTCATAGAATTTAAATAAAAAAATCATCAAATTTGACTAAGTAGTTGCTAAAATATCTTTACTCAATTTTAAAAAATTTCAAAACATATCAAAACAAAAGCTGTATCAAAATTCTTTTTAACATTTGAGAGAAGATATCCTGGAAACTATAATGCCAAATTTAATAAACTTTTTTTATTTAAATTCTATTAATTTATAGAATTGAAATAAAAAAATTATTAAATTTGACTTTATAGTTGCCAAAATATCTTTTCTCAAAGTTTAAAGAGAATTTTGGTGTAGCTTTAGATGGGTTGAAAGTTTTTAAAACTTTGAATAAAGATATATTAGCAACTACTTAGTCAAATTCTATGAATCTTTTTAATTTGAATTCTATGTATTTATAGAATTTAAATAAAAAAAAGTTCATTGAATTTAACCTTGTTGATACTAAGATATCATTGCTCAAAGCTTAGAGAAAATTTTGTATAGCTTATTTTGATAGATGTTTTAAATTTTTTTCAAAACTTTGAACAAAAATATTTTAGCAACTACTAAGTCAATTTTAATAAATTTTTTTTTATTTGAATTCTATAAATTCTAAAATTCAAATAAAAAAGAGTTTATCAAACTTAGCTTTGTAGTTGCTGAGATATCTTTGTTCTAAGTTAAAGAAAATATTTAATCTGCAAAAGAGATAGTTATATTAATCTTGTATGGGCATATTAGCATAAAATTGCATAAATCATGCACATGCACACATGCATGCATGATTCATGCGCATGGTGCCCATTTCTATACCTAGAGCAGATTCTTAAATTGAGGAGTATATGATTAAGGCACAGTTTTATTTTAAACAAACAATAGTAGTAGTTATAGTAGTATACTTGCCACCGAGCAATAAGATATTAATTAAGGCGGTATCATTTATCACCTAATTTTTTTTTATCAGTGGCCTACCCCCACCTTTATATATGAAAATTGTCAGGTCTTTATATATAATTTCCAAAATTTTTGACCCCTCCCTAAAAAATTACCTGATATTTGACACCTCCCTAATAGGGTCCAGCAGAAGATTATAACAAGCTTTATTCAAAGAATGAATAATATGCAATTTGTAATAATAGGTGATTTCAATTACATCGTAAACCAAGAATTAGACAAATACAGTAGTTGTAGCAGTTCAACATTTAAGTCCCTCCTGTTGCATAAATAGTTTAGAAATCAAGGCTTTGTTGATACTTTTAGAATAGCCAATTCAGATCTTATAAAGTATTTATAGTTTGGCCAAGGTGTTGCGACAAGAATTGATCAGATATGGGTGTCTGAAGATCTAAGATACGAGTTATTAGTGGCCAACATTAAAGAGGCAGATATAATAATAGCAAGTGATTATACAATAATAACAGCTAGTATTACAATGAGATATTTAGTTCATACTTATAGTACAGCAACCAAAAGAAAGAAAGAGATCTTAAGAAATATCTATTTGTATAATAAAGTAACAAACGATGATTGGAAACAGTATCAAGAAAACCTCAAAAAGTTTATAGCTGATAATAGAGCGCTTATAAAATGTTAGGCGATGACTACACCTGACAAACTTGATTTAATTTGGGATATTTTGGCAGGTGCAATTAGAAGGGTGGCAGATAAAAATATTCCAAAAAAGAAAGTACCTCATAGTTCGAAGAATAGAATAAGAAAGAGTAAGCCAACTAATTTGCACAAGACTACAGTCAAATTAAGTAAACTAATTTAGCAAGTTAAAAAAGCTACAATATATGAGGAACAATTAATTGATATTGCAAAAGTGAATAGTAAGATCGATTACATTAATAGTGTATACCAAACAGATGTACCCATGCTAGCTTTGTAGTGTAAACAAAAAAGAATTACTGAAGTGGATAGGTTATACAAAAATGTGTTGGAAGGCAATGCGGATACAAGAAAAGGTAGAAATGGACAAGGCTACACGTAAGAAAATTAAGACAGCAATAATATATAGATATGAAAGAATCGATGGTGAAGTGGGGATAATGTTAGCAAATATTTTGGACAAGCTATTCAGAAAGATTAGAATAGATTGAGTATTTGAGAAAGAAAATAAAAAGTTGATGATATATAACGAAGCAAACGAAGTACTTTTGAAGACGTCAGTGCATTTCCAAAAGCAGTTTAAAGAAAAAGAGGTGGAGGAGGACAAGAAAGTACTTGAAGAATTCTACATACCGTTTGCAAACGTAAAAGAGAAATGGTCGAAAGTGAAATCACACTCGATGAGTAGTTAGTAGCAATAGGAAAAACAAAGAATAAGACTGCATCTGGAGCTACTAGTATCGGATATATCTTAATTAAGAATGCTAGTATTGAGGTTCAAAAGATTTTTAGTAGATTTGCGAGTCTGTGTTTAGCAAAGAGTAAAATTATAGATAAATGAAAGCTAGTTCAGATTTATCCAATTCTGAAAGATGAAAATTGGGGGTTTCAATTGTATAATATTAGACCAATTGCCTTGTTAGAGATATTTAGAAAGTGTATTACTTGTGTATTAACAAAAAGAATGGCTAAGGTTTTTGTTGAGAATAAAATATTAGGTGGTCCCAATTATACAGGATTGCCAGGTTGTTCAACAGAAGAGGCAATTAGCTTAGTCGACATGATAGTTGAGGATGCTCACGAGAGTAAGAAGAAATTGTGGTTAATGCTTCAAGATATGAAGAAGGCATATGATTTGGTGTTATTAAAAACACTTCATGCTGCATTATGTAAAGTTAAGCTACTATCTAAAATTGTTAAATTTATTATCAAGCTGTTTAAGAGAAGAAGAGTCAAGATAATCACTGAGTTTGGTCTAATAGATAAGTTCGAGACAAGTGATAATATTGAGCAAGGTGAGACAATTTCACCCTTAGTATGCAAATATTCTATGATCTGTTGTTAAGAAAGATTCAAGATAATGAAAAGCTCAGGTATAAAGTAAGCTCAAGGCAAATAGTAGATTTGCAGATGAATAGTACAAAGACTGATACAATAAGACAAGCAGTAGTAGCTTTCGCGGACAATACAACTTGGATTGCAAAAAATAAAGTCCAAGTGGAGCAGATAATAAAAATAGTACAAAGATTCTTCAAGTTTAATGATATATGAATAAATAATGCAAAGTTTAAGCTAATAGTAGTAAATATGAATTTGAAGAAAAGTAAGAGGTGGATTGAGGTTGATGGGTATGAGCTACAGGCTAAGGAGAAAAGAACGTTAACATAGTTACTTGGCATTTGGATAAGCACAGATCCACGTAAAACTATATTAGCTAAAAAGGCAAAGGGTATTGTAGGGTATTTTGTAAAGATATTAAGATACAAGAGTCTGTCTATTAGTCAACTAATTTATGTGAATAACATATGTATAGTGCTGAAATTAGTCTATATGTTATAGACAACAAAATTAACTAAGCAAGCATAAATAGAATATGCCAACCGGTAATAAGAATATTTAAGAACAAAATAGTGTTGCCGGCAACAGCAGACAATTATATAGTGACACACCAAGAACTAGACCAACAACTAGTATGCTTGCAAAATAGACTTAATAGGTTGGATCGAGTAGGGAAGATGATACAAATAAGGTTGAATGAAGGTTACGCATTGGCTGGGTTAGTAAAAGAAAATTGGTCGAAACTACAAAATCAGTATCTCAGAAAGGTCTGAAAAAATAATTTGGCAGGATCAATTTTAGTCAAAGCAAATGAATTAGGTGTGTCATTTCATACTAATACAGAGAAGTGGCAAATTTGTAGTACAGGTTCTACAATAGCAGAAGTGATTGAGGAAGAGATGTATAGTGCCTATTGTAGTAGTATTAGGAGTTTCAATGTGTTCTATGTAAATTAGTTGATTGATAGAACTGGTACGAAGATGATAACATGGAACCAACTACATGTATTGAGAATGAAGTCTCTGAAAGGCCGAAAAAGCAAAATGGTTTAGTGTGATTGAGAGGAAGTTGATCAGATATATAGAAAGTAGAGAGGTAGTAGATAACTTTAAGGTTTCAGAAGAGAATTGGATATATATGCAAATAAAGGCAAAGAGGTTATCTGAGGATCGGAGACGTCATGAGTAGGTAATCATCAACAATGAAAATGCAGATTCAATAGTAGATCGAGTTAGAAAAAAAAAAAAAAGTGCAGGTTTTAATCGATTATTGGTTTTCTGAGTTATCAACTAATAGTGAAAATAGGTGTAAGAAGTGTAAATTGAGTCAAACAGATGAGATTAATGTATGCCAACAATGGGTTAAGAAAAGAAGGGTACTAGGAGCAATTCCTAAGATTAGTACGGTTGGTATAAAGAGAGTACCAGTTCTATTAAGAGAGATTAAGAGATTTAGATTAGATAATAATATGCTAGCTAAAGCAAAAAGCGAGTGTAAGATAAATAGTATAGTAGTAATAAACTCATATGAAAAGAGTTTAGTTATAGAGCAGGGTTTTGACCAGGAGCTAGAGTTGCTGTTAATACAGCAATTGGAGAGTAATTATAGTAGAAATGTAGATAGTAGTGTGTATTAAACTGATGGGTCCTTGATCAAAAGTAGTGAAGGATGTAGGATGGGTGCAGGTTGAGTACAGGTCGATAATTTGGAGGAGATGGTCCTTGTGAAGGGAAGGATTAGATTTGGTAAATAGCTATTATCAACAAAGACAGAGTTAGTACTGTGTTAATGATAGTGTTGACAGCTAGATGCAGAAGTGAAGTTATAGTTAAACTAGATAGTGCTGTAGCAATTGCAAGCTTAGAAGATCTAATGATGCTTACTGATATAAGACTGTTAAGTAAGAAGCAGAATGCGAGTTTAGCAGTTAAGATTAAAGATATATGTAGATTAAAGTCTTTGGTTCTTCAGTTGATTAAAGTGAAGGCACACAGTAAGGTGAAATGGAATAAAAGAGCTGACCAACTGGCAAAAGAAGGGGCTTGGTTAACTCGGTGCTCGTTACTGGCCATGAAGAAAAATCATCGCATAAGATTTATGGCCTACCTTAATGAAATACTGGTTGAGATAACAACAAAAAAACTAGTCAAGACACTAATGAGCTTTAAAACCAGTGTGGAATGGTGTAGCTCGAATACTATCAAGCAGTATGAAAGTGAAATGGACACAAACCATAGCTGGAAGCCTTGTGGTGCTAGAATAAAAAGGCAACAGAGATCAAGTGCAAGACACGAGTTGCGAGCAAAAATATAGCCTTCCGAATTAAGTGTATAAATAACAATTTGACAGTTTTATCATTGTTAAAAAAGAAGAAAGCCAGAGGTTTATTTAGATGATATGTATGTAAGTTGTAGGTGTGCGAAAGAAATCTTTGATCACTTAGTAGTGTGTATGGGGTATGATAATTACTGGAGTATCATAGAGAAGGTCACATGCTTGCTTGTATGGAAGAAGTTGGATTGTGCATATAAGAGGTCAATATTTATTGAAATGTTTGAGTTGGCAATTGGCGGTAGTATATTTAAAAAGCGAACCAAGCAGAGAAAAGATTATATCAGAAGGCTTATTTTGGATGATATTGTGGTGGATCTGTTAAATTTAGAGATATCAAGGAAGAATATAAACCTGGTACTAGATAGTTATATGGTGATTGTAAAAAGTAGCTTTCTTGATGAGATCTGGCGAATTAGATGTAAAGCAGTTGCAGAATGGGAGAAAGAGGACGGCATTAATACATCAATGAAGAGAAGCAACTAAAAGAAACCACGTGTCAAAGGTACCAGTAAGAACACAATGTCAAAAGTAAGGGAAAGCAGAAATATTAGTGAATCGAGTAGAGTAGGTAAAGTAGTAGGTATTGAGAAAGATACAGAAGTTGTAAGGTTATTTGAGATGGGTGTTGATGAATAGGTTAAGAATGGTTCAACTTCCTTTTGGTTTAGTTCTTGATAGAGCTAACAAGGTCTTCTAACCCACTTGTGGGTTGGTGCGACAAGTTGCATCTGGGTGTACATGATGTAGCTGGGTGATGCCAGGCTTATAATTGTTAATTAGATATTATTAGAAATCTTTAAAGTCTAGTAGTAATATAATTTGTATTTGAGCACTGACAAAACTGTCAAAAAATTAAAAAAAATATATATATATATATATTGATATCAACATTTAATTTTAAAGATTAATTTTTATTATGTGTATTGGTATTATTTCTGCAGCAGGTCATGGGACTAAATTAACCAATCAAAATAAAATGTTAATTATTGTTGATCATTCTAATTACAGCCAATTAAAATGAATTTCCATCTTGCTTTGCTAAAACAATCTTGTATTTACATTCTACTTTATCTGTTTGAAATGAAAAGTGTAAACAATGCCGATCTTTTGAAGGGGGTAAGCTGGAATGTCCACTTTTTGTTAAAATTTTTATGAGAGCAGCAGAGAGGTGAAATAGAGAAAAAAACCACTTGTATCTAAAATAAAAGAGTGTAAATTTCTTTTACTAAAATCAATCATAGTCCACACTTAAAACATACACAATATTGAGTTTTTTTAATGAGTAATAAACTCTAAACTTGTTGGCAAATAGCATATAAGAACTACTGTATCTCTAAATAGTGACTTAGTGGTGCTATAAAAAATTAGCAGTCACATGAAGATCATCATGCATAAAAGAATTTTATTGGCCAAATTTTATTAATAAAATAATGAATAATAATAAACTTTAAGTATAGTATCCTGACAATCACTAAGTTAATTTTAATAAAAGTTATTTTATTTGAATTCTACGAATCTGTAGAATTCAAATAAAAAAAAATTCAATGAATTTGGCTTGGTGGATGTTGAGATACCTTCACTCAAAGTTTTAAAAAATCCAAACTGTCTTATCAAAATAAAAGCTATACCAAATTGTTATTAAACTTTGAGCGAAGATATCTCGACACCCACCAAGCCAAATATGATGGACTTTTTTTTATTTGCATTCCACAAATCTGAAGAATTCAAATAAAAAAATGTTCATTGAATTTGGGTTGGTGGGTGTCGAGATAACTCTACTCAAATTTTAAAAAATTCAAAACATCTAACAAAAGAAGAGCTGCGCCAAACTTTTTTTTAAACTTTATACAATGATAACTTGACACCCACCAAGCCAAATTCAACAAACCTTTTTTTATTTAAATTCTATGTATTTTTAGAATTTAAATAAAAAAAAGTTTGTTGAATTTGGCTTTGTGGATGTCGAGATATCTTTGCACAAAGTTTAAAAAAAAGTTTGTTGCAGCTTTTCTTTTTAATAGATGTTTTGAATTTTTTAAATCTTTGAGTAGAGCTTTCTCGGCACCCACCAATCCAAATTCAATTAACATTTTTTTATTTGAATTCTACGAATCTGTAGAATTCAAATAAAAAAAGTTCATCGGATTTGGCTTGGTGGGTGTTGAGATATCTTTGCTCAAAGTTTAATAACAATTTGGTGCAGCTTTTATTTTGATAGACATTTTGGATTTTTAAAACTTTGGGTGAAAATATCTCAACACCCACCAAGCCAAACTCAATGAATTTTTTTTATTTGAATTTTACAGATTCGTAGAATTCAAATAAAAAAACGTTCATTGAATTTGGATTGGTGGATATCGAGATATCTTCGCTTAAAGTTTTAAAAAATTCAAAATGTCTATTAAAAAGAAGAGCTGTACCAAAGGTTTGTTTAAACTTTGTGTGAAGATATCTCGACATTCACCAAGCCAAATTCAACAAACTTTTTTTAATTTAAATTTCATGTATTTGTAGAATTTAAATAAATAAAAGTTTGTTGAATTTTGCTTGATAGATGTCGAGATATCTTTGCACAAAGTTTAAACAAAAGTTTGGCACAGCTCTTCTTTTAATAGATATTTTGAAGTTTTTTAAAATTTGAGTAGAGTTATCTCGACACCGACCACCCCAAATCCAATAAATATATATATATATATTTTGGATTCTTCAGATTTGTAGAATTCAAATAAAAAAAATTCATCGTATTTGGCTTGGTAGGTGTCGAGATATCTTCGCTCAAAGTTTAATAACAATTTGATACAGCTTTTATTTTGATAAGACAGTTTGGATTTTTTTTAAACTTTAAGTGAAGGTATCTCAACACCCACCAAGCCAAATTCATTGAATTTTTTTTATTTGAATTCTACAGATTCGTAGAATTCAAATAAAAAAACTTTCATTAAAATTAACTTAGTGATTGTCAGGATACTATTATTTAAAGTTTATTATTATTCATTATTTTATTAACAAAATTCGGCCAATAAAATTCTTTTATGTATGATGATCTTCATGTGACTGCTGATTTTTTATAGCACCACTAAGTTACTAATCTCTAAACAACAAGTGCTATACTTGTAAAAACAATAAGTGATAAACTTTAAAAAAATTAGCAAATAGCATATGAAAACTATCTTTAAATGATAGTTGCTGTCCTAAGGTCTCTCTTCTTATAGTTATAAACTAATATAGCCATTTGTATTTTTTTCTAGTAAAAAGTTTTTTGGAAATTTTTGGTAAAAGTAATCATCAGAAAAAGTTTTGAAAAATAATAATAAAATTTAAAATATAGTATTTTGTTATACAATAATCATTATTTGATTATTAGATGATAATTTTTAATTCAATATTTGAATTTTTACCCAAATTTTTGCGGGTCCCTGGTCACAATAAAGAAAAAAATGCAGGGGCTTCGCGTAATACAGTATTGTGACTATTATTACTAAATAACGATAAAGCAACCAATCAATGTAAGACAAATACAAATTTTGAAGATCACATTCGAAAACATTATATACGAACTTCGCCTGCTGATTGGCTGATTTCCTAACGATTATCAAAAGTTGTGTATATGAATAGATGGTTTCTGATTGGCTGTACACCTCATGATAAACCCGACCTTTTCCGTAAGAAAGTCCCTCATGCTTACTACCTCAAAACGATGGAGTTTTCATGAGACTTTAGGAAAGGCTGGAAAGACCATCCAACGTCAACAACGCACTCAGCGGAAAGACTCAAAAAACGATAGTTCAATTGTATCATCATCATCAGGAAAGATCATAATGGCCACAATTGAAAAATTGATCGAGAAATTAACAAGTGGAATTGGTATATTATACACTTCAATCGTTATTTAAAAAAAATACTGACATACTCATCTCTATAAATACTATTACCTTAAACAGATTACACTTTTTTGACAGATTTTTTCCTAACATACCGAAAATTTCTTACTCCAATAAAGTTATGCAAATTATTGATCTTAAGATTCGATTGGGCACTTGGTGGTGACGATGAAGAGAGAAGGATTGTAAGAGTCAGGTACGATATTTGTACAAAGAAGATATAATAATTGAAGGTTCCTGACCTAATTAGCTAAACATGGATTATTTCTTGCTCGATACAGGACTTTTGTAGCTATACGTCACTGGCTTTTAAATTATTTTGCTTATGATTTTATTCCATGTCGCGCTTTACGAACAACACTGACAAAATATCTAAATAGCCTTCCTTCACATCCGTTAGTGAAAAGTTCTCCACGTGATCAAAGGATAGTACAGGGATTAAAGAGGGTTATAAGGAGGTTAAAGAGAATGTATTACCGGAAGAGTGCCATGGACTTTGCGAAAAAAAGGGGTGATATGTACAGCATTGGTATGAAAAAATTGAGTGGAAGGAACAATGAAATATTTCATAAGACTATAAATCAGGAGCAACTGGGTCAAGATCTTATCGGAGACAAAGTAGTAGTCGACAGTGGGGGTGGGGGTGGTAGTGGTGTAAGTACATCATTAATAGAAGACTCAATTAATATTGCTGTCTCGTATGACAGTAGTAATTATTACACTATAACTCAAAAACAATCCAATTTATTGCGACATCAATCGTCGTCGTCATCTCTGGATTCAACAATTACTCCAGGAACAACCGATTCAGAATCTGAGGCAATTGATTCTTATACACCTAATATTAGTGGTGTAACTCGTAAAGAAACTCATCAGAACATTATATACTCTAGTAGTAGTAATTCACATACTAGCGATGAGGATCAAACTGATGAGTTATATGGCCCAAAGCGGCCAAAATATTCCAGCGAATTAGGTGATGACTTATATATGGAAAGTAACGTTCATGAAGATGAAGATGATGGTGCTGGCGTGAGCAGAAAAAAAGTTCAGCGAACATCTATGCCAGAACCTTTAGCAATTCCAATAGATCAATTAAAACATTCAAAAAGAAAAACAGATAATAGTAAGAAAAGAAGTAATTCAATGGGGGACATGTCACAAAGGAAATTAGATATATTTAATCATTTAGGCGATACAATAAATGAGAATGAAAATCCTTTAGTTATTAAGGAACCTCCACCACTTCCACCACGACGCAGAAGGCATACACTCGATGTTTCATCTGCATCGCCTTCATTTTTTAAAAGCGGATTGTTAAAAACAAATTTTCCTTTGAAAAGACCTAAAAAGTCTGCTTTGCAAGAAAAAATTGTGGATACTTCGCTACCTAGTTCTCGTAAGAAGAGAAGCATGTCTTTTTCTGAAGCAATATGCGGAATCGTAGAAGATGATGACGACGATGATAGTGATGAGTTTGATCTTTTTGAAATTGATCATGCAGGTGGAATTGCAAGAAGAAATTCATCACCTGCATTCATTGGTTCAGCTTCTTCAAAAACAGGAAATCAACTTCCAGGTCAAGAACAGGTTGTTCGTCGACCTTCTGCCCGTTCCTCATGGCCTCGGAAGATGTCAATCACGGTAGGGAAATTTGCTAAAGGATTATTTATTGGTGAGAAAAATAAAGGATCTACTCAGTCAGGAACATTGACCAAGTGTGGTGGCATACAAGGTGATTTTCGGACAATGCGATTCGGTAGGCTTAGCATGCTATGTGCAACATCATCGAGTTCTGCTAGTACCGAGGAGATTGACTCCGATCTATCGTTTGGAGATGACGTTAATCCAAAAATTTTTAATGGAGATGAATATAACATTCATGTTGATGGATTTTCTTACGTGGATGAGTCTGTCGAAGATGAATATTATGACACATCTCATCCTGAAGAATTTGAAATAACAGAACAGTGGTATGAACAGCAAAGTACACAAGATGACACTAATTTTGAAAGCTTAACATCATCACCAATTGATTCGCATCCTACAATTTCCACCTTTTCTCAAGATAAACAAAGCGATGATGATGATATACTTCAACAAGATTATGAAGAGTCACGTAACAATCGTCAGACAGCCCGAGCTACGCGTAGGAGGGCAAAAATGTGGCATTTAGTTCCAGTGATGGAAGTTGAGGACGATATTGATCTACCCCCCCAATCATCAGAGACTGACACTTATCTTGTATCACAATCAAGCGGATCACAAAAGGATGATGATCTACAACCAGTTCGAAAACAAAGCTATCTTGAAAGCGTTTCGGAAGTCGAAGAGGGTGGCGATACTGATCCAAACATTTCTCCCCAGCAATCTTTCGAACAAGAATATGAGGATGAGTTTTATGAAGAAGAACCAGGTGATCACCATAATATTCGTGCTCTTCATCATCGACTTCGTCGACTTCCTGAAGTACGCGATTTACGTTCAGTTACCAACCTCAAAGATTTAGATGAAAAATCCGGCAAGCGCGTCTCTTGGGGAACTTCTTCTTACGGAGTTGAAGGTAGTGGCGCTGCAACAGACTCTGCACCTGATTCCTTGATGTCTCTTTCACAATCAACATCAAAGACAGCACCATTGTCAAAGCGTAAAGGGCCCACCAAGGACGGATCACAAGAAATTGGAGGCCATCAGCGAAACAGACACACCGCTTCTAGGCCATCTTCTAAAAACTCAGCAGAAGCAATAACTTTTGAGAAAGACATCAATATTAGTAGAGGTGGTAGTGTTTCACGTCCTAAAAGGTCAAAACATACGACGATTCACACGCATCACGCTGCAACCACCGAACCAAGTATTAGTCAAGGACCAAGTAAGAACGTTTTAAAATAAAAATCTGATGAAAATAGTTTTCGTTACATTCACTTACCAATATTCCAACTTGGACAGCATCATCTTTTTCATCAACAGCTCCAAGTTCCCGACAGCATCCATACAAATCTTTTATACTGTCGTACAGATCAGAAGCTATTGCAAAACAATTTAGCTTAATTGAAAGAGATCTTCTTATGAAAGTCCGGTGGGAAGAATTGGTTCAAGTTAGTTGGGCTAATGGTGATAAAAACAAAAGCAATAATAATAGTGACATTGAGAAAGATTCCAATACTCAAGATATTAGAAAAGAGACAAAAAATGACAAAGGAAAGCGTAAAGAAGTTGAATCTGAAACAGATGAAGAAAAGGTTTATGTAAAGCCAATAAAAGATGGAGGAGTGGACAAGGTTATTGAAAGATTTAATCAGGTACAGCACATATTTTTATTGCTGCTCTTATAGAGCAAGCCAACCTAGTTACAAACAATTCATTAACATGCAAACCATTTTTAGACAATTGATTGGGTCGCCACTGAAATTATACTCACACACTCTTTGGAAGATCGAGTGAGAGTGATTGAAAAGTTTATACGCATCGCGCAGGTTGTATATCATTACTAACATTATTAATTGAAAATTTTCGCAATTTTTTATTCATAGCTATCAACAATGTACTATAATTCTTATTTTTGAAAAGAAATGCCTACAACTTTCAAACTTTGCAACATTAAATCAAATTCTCCTTGGATTACAATCTCCGCCAGTTGAACGTCTTCGTCGAACTTGGCTTCGTGTTCGCGTGGCAGAAAGACGTATCCTTAAAGAATTAAATGATTATATATCGCCTTTTGATAATTGGAAGATAGTGAGAGATGCTATGCGCCAAATCGTAGAAGATTCCTCGGTGATAAAAGACACAACTAAACAGCGACGAAGGCGTAGTTCTGACGTAAAAAAAGCAAATACCGGATGCATTCCCTTTTTAGGTACATTGATTACATTGATTAAACCAATTTATCGAGAAATTTCTTTTAACTAGTTGTAATTTTCTTACATTTTTTTTCCTCTAGCTCTATATTTATCTGATTTAGTTTTTAATGCAGCCTTACCATCATTTATTGAACCGGCTTCACAACCCCCATCATTGTTCTATACCTCAACCCACCTTTCTCAACAACCACTTGTTAATTTTCAAAAACATCGAACTACAGCTGCAATTATCAAACGTGTAATTGCGTTTCAAAGTCTAGCGTGTGGATACACATTTCCGATTGATGCAGATCTTTACACTAAATGTGCGAATCTTAAAGCAGTTGAGGCTACAAGATTGGTGGTAATGGATTTAGATGTAGAGGATTTAGATGTAGAAGATTACTTATGAAGGAGATAATTACATATATATCAAATAATTGTTTAATTTGGATGGAGATGATACAACCGTAAATTGACAAAATTTATTATAATAATCAAAATAAGATTATAGATATAATGATTCCCTTCCTTAACTCATGATCAAATGTTAGCTTTATGGTTACAGTATTATTTGGTATATTCAGGGATAAATTGTAATTTTTTAAATAATCACAGTCTTTGATACATGTATGTTCTGAAAATTGATTTTTATTTGCAGATCTTTTTAGTAAATATAGATTGTGCATTGATACATATATTTATATATTTAATATATACAGTATAACAAGTAATGTTAAATCTAGAAATCAAAATCTATAATAATCAATATAAAAAATATATTGGTAATATTGGTTATCAAAACATAGCTTAGTGATTTTCTAAAAAATTGTCACAAAAAGTGATAAAAAATTAAAAGATGTCTAATTGTAATTTATTTATTTTTATCAGCTATACTATATAGGTTGGTAATATTGGTTATCAAAACATAACTTAGTAATTTTCTAAAAAATTGTCACAAAAAGTGATAAAAAATTAAGAGATATCTAATTGTAATTTATTTATTTTTATTAGCTATACTATATAGGTTGTTACAAATAATATGTTGCCTTCTAATTTTTTATCATTTTGTGTAATGATTTTGATTGATGATATCCCAAATTAGCAATATAAAATGGCCATTCTATTTAAAATATAGTAAATATATATGGGGGGAAGTCAATAGAAAAGTGACAAATTTTTTCTAAGTAAAAGTTTTCTTGACTTTAGGCTTAAATATCTTGGCAATTATCT